AAATTCCAAATCTAACGACTGCTTTGCATCTTTTTAACAAGATTTACATCTCGCTCGACCTTTCGTTATCCAAGATTCGCATTTATTATGGTAACAAAAACAGCAATAATAACCAGAAATAGGTAGATAAAACGTATGCACTCGAACACATGTGCAGTCACAGAACCCCGCGCACATGTGAACCAGGTGGCTGCCCCTCGTCATACACATGTATACCTGCCACAACACCTGCTCTTTGACTTACACTTGTTCCAGGTGCAATTTCCCTAAAGCTCTCCTTATCTCGCGTCTCCGTTGTTTTGTCACTCCAACTGTCCCATATCTCATCACGTACGGTGTGTGAGTCACGATTGGCTGACAGTCAAAACTTACGAATGGAGCTGCGAAAGACACTGGTTTGGCACGCATGACGTCATGGACAGAGAACATAACGACTGGCAGAGCCGGTAGGAGATTGGTCGTTGAGGCATGCCGTCAGCCATGAGCTTCGTGGCCGGTCAGGAGGTCCGTGCATGACGTCATGCAGGGAGTGAGACGGGGGTCGCCTCACCACCGCTTGCGAGTCATGGAATTACAACATGTTATTTAGGGTAATACATCCTCCGGGCTCGCCTCGCCCCGTGCACGCTTTTTGCTCTTGTACTCGCACGCCGCTCGCCGCGCTGTTGTTGCGACATGCAATCCGGCTTTGCAAAGATTTCCACAAATCCTGCCGGAGCCCTGTGATCAGCTGGGCTCCACCACGCACACGCGGCCGGCCTGCCTGCCTGCCTGCCTTCCAGGGCCTACAGCGAGGCCCGGCTATGCGGACCGGCCGCCGCGACTCTGGGACCAAGGTGCATCCAGGGGCAGGGTATCACTATGCGCAAGGTGACACATAACTCGCCCAGTTTAAATTCAAGGGAAGTTGGGGAGAGGGGAGGGGGATAAGGGAAGGGGACTCCCGTGCCATCCTTCCAAATAAGGAAGACAGACGGCGCAAGCGAGTGACCCGATGAACAGGTTTCACTGTACATTTCTTCTACGAGAGATAAAGCGAAATATCCTTGTATCAGCGACCCACTTTTTCTCTTCTTCTTCTTCCTCCTCCTGTCCATATTCCTTCTCCTTCTTCACCCCTCCTCCTCTTTCTCCTTCTCCTTCTTCTTCGTCTCAACCTCTTCATCATCATCTCTCTTCTTCTTCTTCTTCTTCTTCTTTTCCTGCCCATCCTTCGTCTTCATTTTTACGGCTTTAGCCCTTGCCAAGACACATACGCACGCGTCACGACCCAGCATGACACCGCATACGTAAAATACTAGCATAATTATAAATAAACCCCAAATAAAGACACAGCCCGCTCATTCAAATGGAAAACGGCGCTTGGGTCCTTTCAAGAAAACTAATCGGCTTGGCCTGAGCTTTCAAACAAATCCCCTCCCCTCCCCTCAACCTCTACCCCCCCCCCCCTCCCTTGCCCTCTCGCCGTTTCATGGCCTCTGAAATGGAATCATGAAATCGTCTGTGACATTCAGACCTCCTCATGCCAAGGTCAGGTGTGACTCATGACCTCGCTTCCGCCAACTTACTTGAGAGTCCCATCAAAGGAAAAAAAATATGAGAGAAGAATGAAGTATCATTCACTTTATCTCATGGATAAACGACCGGCACATGATTACATAAATAAATGAATAAACGATAATAATAGTAAGGACAATAATGAAAAGGATAATAGCAAGGATGATGATGACACTAATAATAATACCACTAACAACAATAATAAAACGACAATAATGCAAACAATAACACTTAACAGTAGCAACAACAACATAATGACAATTGCAACATCATCATCATCAACAGCTGCAGAAGTAATAATAACGATAATAATAAAAACTACTCTCCTCCGTCTTGTATTACGCCAGCACCGTTGTCATGGCTGTGCAAGTCTCAGGTGCCGCGAGGGAAAGCATACAGATGACTGACAAATTGTCGATGTATTCTTGAATGCATGCCAAAACGCAACACGGATACATAACAAAGGCGAGTTACGAAACAGTGACTCTGGTAATAGAATTATTATTAAGTAACACTTGTGAGATGATGAAAATAAATGTAAAACAATATATATATAGCATAGGAATGACCCCGGCAACAAATGATTTACACAACGCCGCTCTGAAGAAAGACATTTTATCTCAATTATTCAACGTGAGCATCAAATCCCACTAGGAATTTATATCGAGCTTTATAACAATAACTGGCAACCGAGAGCACGTGAGCCGGCGGGCGTAAACACACGCGGACGACAAACTGTACTAAATAAAACATAAAACCTCTTTTGTCACTCGATAAGCGCTATTTCACATTCAGAGCGCAATTAATAATGATTTAGACGAACTTGCTATCTCATTCCCGCCACGTTTACATCTCCCTGCCTCAAAATTCCAGGCATGTAAGGTATTACTCAATATAAAAGGATATAAAACGCCTTCCATGTATTAAAAAAAAAGTAATTTACGCCAGTATTTGAACAAAGACTAACATTTCCAAGCCCCCTCCCCTCTCCTCCCCCCTCTCCCTCCTCTCCGCAAACGTTATTTAAACCCGCATTAAAATAAATGAGAGTTCGGCGCTCATAAATACAAAAGCTCCGATCGATCGTGCGATGAATAAGAGAGCACACGCCGCATACCGGGCAAAGGGAATGCTTTAAAAGACTGAATAAAAAACGCTCGTGGAACCAGTTTCGGGACAAGTGACGCACGCACACATAGACTCAGACTTACACGCTTACATGTACATGGACATGTACACGCACATGCACACGTACACTCACAGGCAAAGGCACAGGCAAAGGCATACGTACACTCACACTCATCTCTCACCTCTCTCTTTCCCTCTTTCTTCCTCCCTACCTCCCCCTCTCTCTCTCTCTCTCTCGCTCTCTCTCTCTCTCTCTCTCGCTCTCTCTCTCTCTCGCTCTCTTTCTCTCTCTCTCTCTCTCACACACACACACGCACACGTGCTCAACCCTCCCGACGACAGATTGGCTGAAAATGTCGATTCTACAAAGGTTATTCGCTCGTCACTCCGTTAACATACTTTTAACTCATATCTAATCTAAGTTCTCGCTAGTCATTCCTTATTGCCCTCACCCCCCCCTTCCCCTCTTCTCCCCTCTCCTCCCCTCATGTACATTTACTCCCCCCCCCCCCCCCCCAACTCTTAACCCTTTCCCTCCTTCTCACGCATACTAAAGTTGGAAGAGGAAAATCTGCCGCCAAAACTAACAAGGCAAATAAATTTATCTTTTAGTTGGTCAACAAATATGAGAAAAAGGAGAAAAATGAAGATGAAAGGGAAAAGGAGGAGGAGGAGGAAGGAGGAGGAGGAGGAGGAGGAGGAGGAGGAGGAGGAGGAGGAGGAGGAGAAGAAGAAGAAGAAGGAGGAGGAGGAGAAGAAGATGAAGATGGAAATGGAGAAGAAGAAAAATAGAAAGAATGAGCAAGAGAAAAAAAAAAGACTTAGGAAGGAGAGGGAAAAAATAAAGAAGAAAGAAGTTAACCTAGAAATCCAAGCGCTGGTTATCAGCCGTAATCAAGCAATTGACCTATCATCGCCCCCCCCCCTTCTCCCACCCCAAAACAGGGGGCCCCCGTGACTTCCGCCGTAGCAATAATATCGACAATAAAAAAAATCCGCAGTTTAATCGCCTTAAACTCTGGGTCAAATGATGATTCAGCCTTGACCTTGGGCTTGACCTCGTGGGATCTCGTAACCCCTTCTTCCTCATCCGCCCCTGACCTATGACCCCTGAACTCAACCTCCCCTCCCCCTCCCCCTCCCTTCGCCCTCTTCGACCCCGTGTTTCCCGGGCTCCCTCTGACCCCCCTAATGACTCCAGGGAGGTAGAGGGGGGGGGGAGGGCTTTCTTCCGTACCCCCCGCCCACCCCACCCCTATCTCACTTCCGCCTCAATATGACTTAAGACACGGCGGCGTGGAGAGTGACATCTTGCTCTTGAGGGGCGGCGTCGAGAGTGAGAGGTGTTGCAAGTAGTGGGGCTGGGGGAGGGGGGGGATGAGATGGGGGGATGGGGATGAGATGGGGGGATGGGGATGGGATAGGGGGATGGGGATAAGATGGGGATGGGATAGGGTGGAGGTTGTAGGTTGGGGAGTGAGGATGGCGATTGGGATGAGGATGGAAAGGGGGGGGCGGGGATAGAGAAAGGGGATTGAAATGGGAAGAGTGACAGGAATGGGTGAGGGTGGGGATGGGAAGAGGGACGGGGATGGGGGATGAGGATTGAGGATGGGAAGGAGGACGGGGTTGGGGTGGGAAATGGGGAAGGGGATGGCATCCAGCTCGCCCACCCCTCCTCTTCTTCCTCCTGATTATCCGCTTTCTGGATAAAACCAGGGTGAGGCAGGGAGAGGGCCAGCTGGGGAATGGGCAAGGGCAAGGTGAGACAGGATGGGGGCAGGCCGAGGGCAGGCCGGGGCAGGGATCGGCAGGACGGGTGAGGATGGCGGCAGCATACAGATGGGCTCGTGTTCCCCGATAGCATCTTAATGGGCAACGGCATGGCCATGCTGGCTGTGAGGCTACGAGATCCAGGCAGATCTCTCTCTCTCTCTCTCTCTCTCTCTCTCTTTCTCTTCTCTCTCTTCTCTCTCTCTCTCTCTCTCTTCTCTCTCTCTCTCTCTCTCTCTCTTCTCTTCTCTCTCTTCTCTCTCTCTCTCTCTCTCTCTCTCTCTCTCTCTCTCTCTCTCTCTCTCTCTCTCTCTCTCTCTCTCTCTCTCTCTCCCTCTCTCTCTCTCTCTCTCTCTCTCTCTCCCCCTCTCTCTCTCTCTCCTCTCTCTCTCTCTTCCTCTCTCTCTCTCTCTCTCTCTCTCTCTCTCTCTCTCTCTCTCTCTCTCTCTCTCTCTCTCTCTCTCTCTCTCTCTCTCTCTCTTTCTCTTTCTCTCTTTCTCTTTCTCTCTCTCTCTCCGCATCACGCACACACTAAGCCTCACCTGATTTGAGGTTCCGGTGCGCCTCCTGCTCCAGCGGCGACTGGTTCTCCTGCTGGAGGGATTCGTCCTTCCCCTGCTGGGACTCCTTCTTGGGCGGAGTCTCCTCCTTCCACTGCGGCGCCTCCTCCTTCTCCTGGGGCAGCGGCTGGTACTCCTTCTGCTGCGCGTCCTTCCTGAGCCTCGGAGTCTCTTCGTCCTTTGGGGACTCCAGCGGCTGCTTCGTGGCGGTTGTTTGCTGCTGCTGTTCTTCCGCCTCCTCCTGCTGCTGCTCTTTCTTCTGCTCTCTCTTCGACTGCGCACACTGCTGCTCTCCTTCTGCTTGAGAAAACTGCTTCTTCTCCTGAAGCGGCGGGTCTCTCTCCTGCTCCTTCTGCGGCAACGACTGGTCTTTCTTCTCGTGGGAGTCTTCTGACTGAGCCTTCGCTGCAGCCTGCTGTTGCTCCTTCTGCTCCCGCTGTTCTTTCTGCTCTTTTTGTGCCCTGGCCTTCTGCAGCTGGTGTTGCTTGGTCCTCTGCAGGAGCTGCTCCTCCTTGGGCCGCGGGAGTCTCTCGATGACCACGTGGGGCGTCTGCTCCTTGATCTGCTTGTGGAGCCTACCGTCCATGCGCTGGAGCTGCTCGCGGATCTCCAGCTGCGACGGCGCCTTCCGGATGTGCACGTGCGTCGCCCTCTTCACGACCACGACGTCCTGATGGGCGTCCTCGCTCGCGTGGCGGTGCAAGTGTCTCCTCGCATGCTGGGGAACCGCCTGCTTCTTCCCTTCCTGCTGGGGCTCGGCCTGCGCCACCTGCTGTGCTTGCGGCGGAGGCTCAGACGGCTGCTGCTTCGGCGGAGTCTCCTCCTTCCTCCTCGCCTCCTTGCCCTGAGAAGGAGGGGTAGGAGGAGGAGACTCCGTGCCTCCCCCTCGGTCCTCCTCCTTGACCCGAGCCTGTCGTTCCTTGGCCTGTGGGTGCTCCTTGGGTCGCGGCGGGTGCTCCTTCCCCTGCGGCGCCTGCTTCTCCTTCTCCTTCTCCTTCGCCTGCTGCACCTGCTGATCCTTACCCTGCTGCGCCGGCTGGTCCTTCTCCTGCTGCGCGTGCGGCTCTGTCTCCTGCGGCACATGCTTCTCCTTCCCGTGCTGCGCGTGGCGCTCCTTTTGCCGCAGACGCTGGTGGTGGTGTCGTTGTTGCTGTGGTGGTGGCGGTTGCTGCTGCTGTCTGGCGTGGTGGGGCTGGTCGTCCTTCTTGTGGTGTTCTCTCTTGGGCTTTTCTGCTGGTGGCTCTTGCTTCTGCTCTTGCTTCTCCTTCAGTTCCTTCTCTCGCTCTTGTTCCTCTCGCTCTTTCTGTTCTCGCAATTTCTGTTCCTCTTTCTGCTGCATTTCTCTCTTCTTCTGCTCTTCCTTCTGCTGCAACTCCCTTTTCTTCTGCTCTTCCTTCTGTTGTAATTCTTTCTTCTTCTGTTCTTCTTTCATCAACAATTCCTTCTTTTTCTGTTCTTCCTTTAGCTGTTGTTCCTTCTTCTTCTGTTCTTCTTTTTGTTGTAATTCTTTCTTCTTCTGTTCTTCTTTTTGTTGTAATTCTTTCTTCTTCTGTTCTTCTTTCAACAGTAATTCCTTTTTTCTCTGTTCTTCTTTTTGTTGTAATTCCCTTTTCTTTTGTTCTTCTTTCTGTTGTAATTCCTTTTTCTTCTGTTCTTCTTTTAGCTGCAGTTCCCTTTTCTTCTGTTCTTCTTTCTGTTGTAATTCCTTCTTTTTCTGTTCTTCTTTTTGTTGTAATTCCCTTTTCTTCTGTTCTTCTTTCTGCTGTAATTCCTTCTTCTTCTGTTCTTCTTTTTGTTGCAATTCCCTTTTCTTTTGTTCTTCCTTTTGTTGCAATTCCCTCTTTTTCTGTTCCTCTTTCTGTAGTAATTCCTTCTTTTTCTGCTCTTCCTTCTGTTGTAATTCCTTCTTCCTCTGTTCTTCCTTTTGTTGTAATTCCTTCTTCCTTTGTTCTTCCTTTTGTTGCAATTCCTTCTTCCTCTGTTCTTCTTTCTGTTGCAATTCCTTCTTTTTCTGCTCCTCTTTCTGTTCCATTTCTCTCTTTTTCTGCTCTTCTTTTTCTTCTGCCTCTTTTTGTTTCTGTTCTTCTCTTAGTTGTTGTTGTTGTTGTTGTTGTTCTTTCTGTTGTTGTTTGTGTTGTTCCTTCTCCTGAGGTCTCTCTTCTTCCTTCGCCTCCTCGTTGCATTTTTCCTGCTCTTGCTTTTGTTGTTTTTGCTCTTGCTGTTGTTGTTGCTTTTGCTGCGATTTCTGCTGTTGTTGTTCCCCCTTCTGCTTATCCTCCGTGAGTGGAGGGGGTTCAGGTAGCTTTAGGGTCGTGGGCGTACTGCTACTATTACTGCTGCTGCTGCTGCTTGAACTGGTGGTGCTGGCAGGGGTAGAGGCAGCGACGGCAGGGGCTGGAGACGAGGCAGGGGTGGCAGGGGACTCGGGGGCTGTGGCAGGGGCAGT